TCCTAATAAAGGAGGTGATGTACATTATGTCTTCTCTGCTCTGCTCTTTTTACTTTTCTGTTTCATTTATGACATGGAAACACACCTTATCACAGTTGGCTAGGGTTCTTATCTATATTTGACCTTATTTGTCTGAAATGGTGTGACCTTGAATCTAGAACACTCGTTCAACACTGGACAAAGACACGATGATGAAACTGGCCAAAGCTGTTGGAGACACAGAGACCAGTATAAACTGCTTTTACTGCAGTCAGTCACATCAGACACCTGCATATATGATAAACATCTGTCTGAGGACTTTCTGACTGACCCTCATATGGGTTCTTCCTTGTGGGACTCAGACTCTCTGCGTGGTGGTGATGTCTTCTCTCCGTATGTGCGTGGGTTTCTTGTCAGACTCTGGTTCCATGCAGATTGGGATTTGATCTCAAGTGACAGACTACAGTGACTGACCTGTGATGTAATCTAACGTTTGTGTCACCTTTGCTGATCTTGTCTTCAGCTGATGATAAAATTATTGAGTTTCAAACTTTGATTTCATCCATTTCAAACGTGAGTCTGAATGGAGTCAGGCTTTCATTCCATCTTCATAAATATTTGGACTTAAGTCTTGAATGATGAAGTCACCCACGTCTGGAGAATGCTAATAGCAGCATCATGACGCAGAAAGTCTTGCCTACAACGTGATTTTTTTTCTCTCTCCCTCAGAAACGACACCTCCAGGATGGACTCATGTGACACATTCAGACTAACTCCATAATGACCAACTTTTTCTCCGCTGCTTCAGTGCCTTCTTGCGCCCTCACAGGATTTGCCTTTGCATTATTCATTTGGGGTCAAAAGGCAGCTGCAGTGAGGTAATTGTTATTCCTTCCACCACTGATATTCATGATTGATTTCATTACTGAAATTTTCAAGAACTTCATGCATAATGTGATATTTTATACACACTTTCCTTCTATAATTGTGCATGACACAGGACTGCCACTGGGCATCCATTTAAGTAATGAAGCCTGTTATTAAGTTCCACTGTCACAGAGGTCAGAGGTCAAGGCATAGCTCTTTACTAACTTCAAATGTTTACTTTTATTTATAATGTTTTGGCCGGTGGACGAATGAAGACACAGGGTTTGACAGATCAACAGGCTTACTATGGGTCAGTACTGCAGACTGGGCGCCCAAAACAGGGGGAATGAGAAAAGGATTCTACAGGTCACAGAGAGACCCCCAATTGAAATTACAATACTGACATAAAATAATATGAATGAATTAAATACCATAAAACTGCGTAGGTTTATGTACATAAGATAAGAAAAAGCATAAGAAAAAAAACCTTTCTACCATAAAACTGCGTAGGTTTATGTACCTAAAATAGCATGAGAAAAAAAAACTTTTGCCTGCCTGTCAGTTTCACACTTAATAAAAGTTCTTGTCATAGGGCCCAATATCCCTGGCGGTGTTCCTACTGCCTTACTACAGTTACAGACTCTGGTCAGGACACAGGGGGTACAGTAGGATGGGATGTCAGAAAAAAAATGTGTTCATCTCAAAGGCCGGAAACAATCTGGCAGGAAACAGAGGAAGAGAGAGGCTTAAATAGTTACAGGTGAGAAAATAACAAGACACAGGTGGGGAAGGGGACGTCATCACCACGGAGGGAGACACAGGAAGTGGGGGGAGGCAGAGGAAGAGTTGTAGACAGGGAGGGATGAAACACACAGGAGACAAACAGTAAATGATGAGTCGATCATTCACGCTGAGATTCACACCTGTAGTCAGTTTAGAGTGAACAGATGAACCTAACCCTGTGGTGAACCTGTGGTACTACAGACAGACAGACAGACCAAGGACTGAAACAGTGATGTAGCTGAACAATATTTACAAATGGTCACAAATACAAGCAAACCAAATGATAAGATGTATTACACTACAACAACAACAACACAGTGGATGACACTGTGAGTCAAATATAAGTTTTTAACTCTTCAGTTTTCTGAAAATATTAAAATATTATGATTTTTGGCACATTCTGCCCTTCTGCCACCAGGGTGTGATTTTTTTTACTCACTGCGGAAATAGATCATTGACTTTACATCATCTCCAGTGGAAATTCAAGTCATTCCTCACTGTTGTGTCTGTGAGCCTCTCTTTTCTTCAGAGAGAAATGATGTTGGAGGTGAATGAGACAAATGGTTAGAACAGAATACAAAACAGGAGCAGCCAACGAACCCCTGACCCTCAGGCCGTATGGCCGCTGTAGGTGGAGGTGGCTGAAGCACCTGCCACAGCAGGAGACATATATATATTTATATTCACCGGCATATTCTAAATAATGCGTTTTGACTTACGGACCTTTTCATGTATCTTGATTGGCATTATAGTTGTACAGATATTCAATGAGTTTTTAATGTGAACAAGAGGTTTGATATTTGCTGCAAATTAAAATGTCTCCATAGAAAATATATTGATTTTGATAAATATTTAACTGTTATGATATTGAATAACGTACATAATCCTCAGTTATTGTGAGTGTAATCGTTGTGGTGGTTTTTGGTGTGGGTAATGGAGGTTACAGATCGAGGAAAAAGAAGGTTCCTCAGTCGGCGTCTGATCGTCTTGTTCCGTAACTGGTTGCCTGAAGACAGAACTTCAACTTCACTCTAATAACTGATTATTATTGAGAGGACACTTTTCAATTTAATATGGTTCACGGCTTATTTATGACTTTAAACAACTTTCAACAAATCTTCAAACCAACTTTTAAATTGTATTTTTTTTCAGTCAAACTAAATGTTCTGCTTGTGTTCAGTCCCACTGTGACCCAGCAGCCGTTAAATACAGACATAAATAAATGAAAACAGAACATTTGGAACTAAATAACTGAATAAATAATTGCCTCCTGTGTTTGTTCCCCCCTCCCCCACATACAGAAGTTTGTGCTCACTGTATATGTAGACGAACAAGTTGGAGTCGTCTCACTTTGTGTCACCGACTTTTGTTTCAGGCACTCCTCAGTCCAGAGAGTGGTTTTTGACACACGTTTACTCCTGACCCTGAGTGCTGAACGTATGCTGAGTGGTTTTGCTTTTTAATTACTTTTGTAGAACAAGACGGTTTGATGCACGTTAATGCAGGATGAAAAGAAAGAATCATGTTGGGAATAATAAAACAGAGTGCAGACAATCAGGCATCTGCTGGTGCTGCAGGTAAATAGAACATGGAAAACATTCACTTCTCTGTTGTCCTGACCAAAAACAAGTTACCAAACCTAGAACCACCAGGTCTGATGGTTGAAATGTTACAGAGCGAGATCTTATTAGAAGGTATGTCTGAATCACCTGTCTGCGCAGAACACCAGGCTCCATGTGCCTGTATATGTGTATGTGTGTGTGTGTGTAACATGCACACTCCACTCCTCCTGAAGAAGACACTGCTTCACAGAATGGATGGCTGCTGTCAGACTGAGGAAGAAGAGATAGATTGATAGGGGAAGGGAGAGAAAGGGGGTGAGAGATGGAAGTTGAGACTGATGGCAGATGGTGTGAGATGGAGATGGAGAGGGAGACGAGTCCCGGCCTCCTCGCTGCCTCCTCACTGGCAGAGTACAGCAGGTATATGCTGAGCCCTAAAGAAATAAAAGGATCCAGTGATTGATTAACAAATTGATTTTCTCCTGCATCTGAGTCTCCTGTACCCCCCCGTCCTCCTCTCTGCCTTGTCTTCCACTGATGATACATAATCATTTCTGGACTTTCCTTGTTATTAATCAAATAGTCTTGTAATCACATCCATTTTCTCATTCGTATTTGCCTGCCAGCCACCACCTCCGGAGAAGTCGCACTGGAACACTGATGGAAAACATGAGAAATGACACAGTCCCAGACACAGGCTCTGCTTAAAGGTAAGAACATGACATTCACCAAAGTCCATTATAGAACACTTAATAACTCACTGTCAAAACTGAGGTCCGTGTCATTGTTTTCACTCCGCGCCCCAGCAATGAACCACATCCAGATGTTTTAGTTCACGGCTGTGCTGTTGACATGCTGACATTCAGACAACACAACAAACAAGTGATGAGTGGGCTCAACATAGATAAATGTCCATGTATATGTATACATATATATACGTTTTTGTCTGTTTTTACTTTTATTTTTTTTACTTTTAAAACTGATTAATTTTTGTTGCATTATTGCCACCTGCTGGTGTGACTGTTTTCCACATGTAATACAGAATAAGAGAACATGCAGGCAGACGGCGGCATACGTGTACAGAAATACTACCTATAGCCTATTCAAATACTGAGAGGAAATATTTGTACAATTGTTTATAATTTTACAAAACCTACTTTTAACATTCCTTACCTTAAATAGCTGTTTATCCTAGATCATTTCTATCCTGAAGAAACAGTAATACTGCAGTACTCAGGAGCAGCGTGACTGTCTGTCCTGACTACGGGGGCTTTTTTCCACCCACTGAGAAATTAGTCATGACATTTGTGAGGGAGCCAGTGAAGAAGAGAGGATTTGGGAGGTCAGGCTGAGTTAGACTCACTGTCGCCTACAACAAAGAAGGACAGCTTTAAAATCCATTTCAAAGATTTATGGCAGGAAGTAGTCAAGGAAAAGGTCATGACTGCTTTTTAGCCAGAATGACAGTTCACCATGTTTTTGAATAGTAAACAAAAATGACATGGATGCAAATAATGGCATATTTGTTTTATATGAGTTTAATGGGTCTTGACTGAAAGGTGAGATCTGAACTGGGAGATTGACAGCTGTGTTCCTGTCCATTCATTTTTCATTATCACCCAATTGGTGCTGCTGCAGATCTGTTAGAAAAGCAAACCAAAATCAAAATGAGTCGATGCCCAGCTGACACAACCAGCCATAAACACAGTGATGAGGCAGAATCCACTCTCCCTGGTCATAGAGGCGACGCCGCTCTGCTTTCACAGGATGAATAAATAAGCACAGAGCAGGCGGAGAAACAAGCGCTAATGTCCACTTTGTAGGAGGTCAACAGAGAGTGACCAGCCTTCCTGGTAAACCCTCGTCCACCGCTGACCTTTGACTGAACGTCCAGGTCTCCGATGAGCTACTTTTCCATTAACCAGACTGAGTAAATGTGCCGCCATGAATGGGCACACACACCGTTGGGCTAATAACTGACACCGCTGACCTCTGCTTATGGACTGACTGGAGAGCTGCTCCACCGTGTCTCCACAGACTGGACACACCCACCACAGTTCAAATTATATGTTTGTAATAATAAGACATGTTTTTAATCATGTTAGTTTACTTTTGTAAGCCAGATCCAGTTTGAGGGAATTAGTATAAATCATTTTATATATTTGTGAGAAGCTACACCATACAATACTGTTCAGGAAAGAGAAATAGTTTAAATCAGAAAAACAGTAGACTAGGTGGAGAGTCAGTGCTGCCTCTGAATGGAGGATAATACTTTAACTCAGATAATACAGTAGCTTCATCTTCACTGACACAAGCCAAGGTCTCCACAGGCAGTGTTGGAGTCAGAATCATTATAAAGCACTTCGGCTCATGTCGGAGGCACAAAGTTTATAATAACACAGCCTTCAGATGCAGGTTCTAATCAATTACTCTTTAAAAAGTGTCTTTTGTGTTCCTGTCACCTGTAACCTGGTGGTTAGAGCGTGTGATCCAAGGGTTGTTTGTTTGAATCTCAGGAATGGCAGGGCTCTGTCTTTTTCATAGAAATGAACTACTTTGCACAGTCATTGAATATTTTTTCATTCAACATAATACTCTTTGCCCTTTGACCCTAATACATCCTGTCAGTGGGTCAGAGAATGGTTACCTGCCCTGTTTTACCACAGGAACGTGTCTTTAAGTTACAACTGGAGAAGTCTGTGGAACTGGAGGTCAGACCTCAGCAATAACTCGTCGCTGACTTCTGACACCCAGGGACAACAGGTTGTTGTGGCGGGGGTTGTATCAGGAAGCTCATCTGATTTATTTGTTGTACAGAGACAGAGACAGGTGTCCAATGAAACCTCACGTTTAACACAGAGATTTTTTGGACTGATGGAGAGAAAGTAATGACATATCCTTAAAAAAACAAACAAAATCAATGTCACAGCAGTGAAGTCTTTATTTGATCTTTTCCAATGTGTGCTCTGTAACGCCAGGGAGAAAAACACGTGTTCTTTAAGAAAAAACACAGAGTTCTTCAGGGTGTTGTTCATTACAAATATTACAGACCATATAGATACAGGTGTGGTTATGAGCTGCCACACAATAGCACTGGACTCAGTACGTCAGCCATATTTACACTAAAGAAACCGACTTCAGCCCCTCTGGGTAGAAATGTACAGATGAAATAATCCACAGTATAAGTCGTTTTATGTCCTTGTGGATAAAAAACACAATATGCACATGCTTCCACGTGTGTGTATATATATATATGTGTGTGTGTGTGTGAGAGAGAGAGATAGAGAGAGAGAGCAGTAGACATTAAAATGGCAGCAGGGCGGGGGGGTTGGTTGTTCACTGTGGCTGAGCGTGAAAGGGAAAAAAAAGATTAGTGTAGTAAAAAAAAAAGAATAAAAAAGAAGGACATTTGAGCTGAGACAAGCAGGCCATTTGAGAACAAACACACACACACCGTCTGGTTTTCATGAATGATCAGGACTTCACAAAGACATAATGCGTTTCTAAACCCCCACCCTAACCTTAACCATTACCCAAACTCTAACCTGCTCTTAATTCTACTGACCTCATCTTCAATCTTGAAATACCCTTGAGCTTAGTGGGGACCTAAAAAAAATGCCCACACAAGTATCGCTAGACCACATACACACCCACACCCAGCTTCACACGTATATATACTTGTCAGGTCTCTGCTTTGACTTCTCTTCACGTTCAGCTTCTTCATCCTGTGGTTGTTTTGGTTCACTGGGACCAGGATCGGGTTTCTTTTAGTTCAACTGGTCATCACAAACCGATGTGGTCTTAAAGAGGTTAACAGAAGTAGTACACACATACAGTACACACCAAAATCGTCAGTGGCATTTCAGGGTAAGATGTGATAACTGTGTTCAGCACAGGGCTTACAGGTCTTTCTGTACAATCTTACACACACGCACACACACTTCACACACTGCAGTGGGTGACCGTCTGTCTCAGCAGTAGTTCTCTTTTCCATCTAGAGGGAGCAGAAGAAGGATGGAAACAGGCCTGAGAGAGGAAATGGTCTAAGACGCCGTTACACTCTACAGGTCGACGGATAAAGACAAAAAAGAGAAAATCTAATTGAATCTAAATGGGTTTGTTTTTTTCTTCTCCCAGTTCATATTCTGGGAACATCACACGTCAACAACAGCAACATGAAGGTTGAACACAAGTGTGTGGTTTTCCTTAATAGAAACAGTTTTGCTACCAAACAGCAAGGAGCCCCTTTATCCCATTGGTCCACATTTACACAGAGTGACTTCACAAAGAATGTTGGAGGGAAAGAAGTAGAAAGACAGAAAAAAACGGAGAGCACGTCCACCATCTCACCTCCCAAACAACTATGTTGTGGAGATTGTCAAGGCCACCAGAATACTGAGTAGATGAGGCGACATCGCTAATGACAAGTTTGTGGTGACCTTTGGCCTCCTGTACAGTGCCTCGAGTGCAGCCACAGCGTTGTTATGCAGCACAATTACCTGTGCAGTCAGTTTGTTTGATTAGATGAAGGACACTGAAGTGAATGAATGGCTTTTCATGAAAACCCACTGCATGAACCTCTATTTAACGTTCTATTCAAACGTTCACGGCTGTGATTCCACACTGCAATCCCTGAATGTAAAAGCAAGCAAGAACTTGAGTCCAGCTCTTAGTCATGAGGCTCAAAACAGTCTTAAAGGTTTTTTTGCTTTCAAAAGGAGCTTTTCCAGGACTTACAGAGAATCTTCTGGAAGGCTCTGCGAAAGTCCTGGTTGAAAATGGTGTAGATGACGGGGTTTAAGGAGCTGTTACAGTAACCAATCCAGAAAAAGAACTTAAACAAGGTCTCGGGGATTTGGCAAGGCTCTCTGCAGATACCGTACAGGCTGTAGGAGAAGAAGAAGGGAAACCAGCACACAACGAAGACTCCCATGACCACGGCAAGGACAAAGGTGAAGCGTTTCTCCCTGGCAGCAGACACTTTCTTTCGATTGACGGTGCTACGGCGCTTACGCCGAGAAGAGAACAAGTCGATGGACTTGGAACTTGCACGAGATTTCCTGCTGGAATATTTGGAGGCGGAGCTGCTCTTCCTACTAGACTTCCGACTGGACTTTCTGTCCTCGTGATGTTTGGAGGACCGGGAACATTTTTTCGGTTTTTCATCTGATGAGCTGCTGTCGTCAAAGTCATCATCGTGGTCTGGCAGTCCATGTTGGGGCTGATTGGGGAGAGGGGACTGAGCTGTCTGATCCTGACAGTGCCCATTCTCACGCTCCTGAACTTTGGCGCTCCCACCTCTGTTTGATGGTAACGACCCCCCTGGTTCTGCTTTGTCCATGCCGTTCTCCAGTGGAGAGTCCACATCCCTCTTTTTCTCTGACATTGTCCTGGTCCTGGTCTTTGCCACCTGGTAGATACGAATATATACAAGAATCATAATGACACAAGGTGCGAAGAACGATCCGATGCTGGAGTAGAGGATGTACCAGGTGTCGTCGTTCAGGATACACTGAGGACTGTTCTCGTTGTTGCTCCTGTCCAGGGATATCAGGGGTGGGAAGGAAATGACGGCGGAGATCAGCCACACCACCACAATCATGCCTTTGACTCTTTTGGGAGTTCTTTTCAGGTTGTACTCTACAGCCTGGGTCACCGACCAGTACCTGTCCAGACTGATGGCACACAGATGGACAATAGAAGAGGTGCAGAACAGGACGTCCAGAGCCAGGTAGATGTCACACCAGATTTTTCCAAAGAACCAGTAGCCCATGAGTTCGTTTGCCAGAGAAAAGGGCATGACCAGGGTGGCCACCAGTATGTCTGCACTGGCCAGAGAGACCAGGAACAAGTTCTGGGGGGGTTTCAGTGCTCTGCTTGTTAAAACGGCGATGACAACCAAGACGTTCCCGACTACTGTGAATAAAATCAGGAAGCCGACCAGCCCAGCCAGACCCCAGATAGCGAGCTGGGTGTACTGGCTGTGAGAAGTGGCGTTGGAGGAGATGTTTTCAGCCTCAAGGCTGTCCTCCAGGAACGAGCTGTTCACAAAATCCATTTTGAGAGTTCTTTTCTTTCTTTTCCTTTAGTCAAAATATGACTTAAGACAAATCGAAATATCGTGCGTAATTATCCCTTTAGGACTTCAATGCGCAAATTTCTCACCCGAACTCTACGCCGAACGGTGCTGCGCTTCTCTCCTCACCTGCAGTATTCCACATCTTGTATTAAGGTCGTTTCCTCGGGGAGAAAAAGAGACAGCGACAGGAATGTGCAGTCTTTTCAGTTCAAAAACTTCCAAAAAAATGTCCAGGATGCGCATCAGCATTAGAATTTCCACGGTTGGAGAGCGGACTCCCTGCTCATCTCGTCCTCTTCCATCCCGACTGCGCCCGCTTCTCTCCACCTCCGCCTCCCTGCTGTGTCCTGAGAGAGGTTTGTAACAACCACGTGTCTTCTTTTTTTCTAAAACAGAAAAAATGTGACAGATACCCGCTCCGCCCTGAGAAGGAGGTGGAGCTTTATGTAGGAGCAGGGATGGAAACGGTGATATAATAAAATATAGAAAATATTCCGTGGAAGTTTCTTTGGAATTATTTGATTAGAACCGGGGACAGGGGTGCGCTTGGATCACGCGTGTCCGCATTAGAGCATTCAGAATGAGGGACGGTATCAGACCCATCTCTGGTCTATGTGACTTTTTGAAGGTCCAGTCCCACAGACAGGCTGCGCTCCTGTGCATTTTAATCCACAGAGGCAGCATCACTCGTCTGACAGAGGTCACTGTCAGAGTGACAGCGCAGCGATGGAGCGCATCCTTCAGCGCCTGTCCTTCTGAGCGCACACTGGAGGTCAGTGTTGCAGCGGCCACTCTGGTCAGTGGCCAGCTGAGTGGAGACACTGATATGTACGGTATAGCTGAGGATCTACGATGTTTGGATGGACTGGTATCCTGATAGCAGTCGGTGTCACTCTGTGACGGAAACTTGTTGAATGGCTTGTTTGTGTTTGTGTTTGTGTTGAGATAATGGTCTCTATAAGAAGGTCAGAGAGATCACAGGAGGTGGTGTGAGGCTGGGATGGAGCTGACTTTTTACTGTGAAGATAACAGATGTGTAATCAGTAATGTCCAAAGCCTGGCCCTGGGATTGACTGTGGCACTTGGACAGATTTTATGTGGCCCTGGTCTTCTTTTTAAAGAAAACTGTTTACCAGTAAAGGAGACTATTCACAATTTTAGCTTTTTTCAATTTTCGGAGCTGACAGTCTGACTGACACAACAGTCAAATGGATTGTTTAGGAGTGTAGACTGATTAATATCGTACAGAACAACGGCAAACTGTATGTTTTATATTTCCTACTTAATTAGAGTGATTAGAGTGTCATTTTTTTTCACAGTAATCATTTTGATGGTGTTGATGTTGCATTTATTACTAGTAGACATTGAGCTGCACAAGACCTTGTTATTTCTCTCTCTCTCTTTCTTTCTTTCTCTGCACAGTCACTGCAGTATTGAGTTGTGTTAAGAATAGACAGGATTACAACTGTGCAGATCAGAGAGACTGACCAGGTTGAGCAGTTTTAGAATACGATCTGGAGTCAAAAAATTGGACACACACTTTTGAATGTGCCCCAGGGGAGAGTCAGTAGGCTTCTCACCCTGTGACTGTGTTGTTCTGTCGACATTATTAAAGGAGGGCACAGCTGCCAAGGTTGGCCAAATGAATCCAGGAAATACTGGCCACCAGTAAACTTGATTAATTAATTGAATTTATGAATTCATGAAAAGAAAAAAAAAACTCAACAGCTGCAGAGTCCAAAAGTTTATGTTGCAACCTCTTCAGCTGTGTTCCTGTGGTGTGACTCTAACAGATGTGAGTGGTGCTGCTGGTTGACGAAAGCCTGTCTCCTCTTTGCTTGGTATTAAGTTCCTGGATCAGTGTGTTTATTGACTGTGTCTTCCAGCTAAGTAGCTGCCATTAATCACACTGTGCTCAGCCATAGTGAATTAAAGAGCAGCCGCAGCCACAAGAGATGCTTAAGTCCAAATTGATCCTCATCAAGACGATTGGGTAGAGTGAAGAGACCATCGAGGGGGGTTGAGGATATGGGGTGAGGGCTGTGGCTTATCTGCCTACACGAAGTCTGAAGTCTTTCGAAAATCTTTCCACATCCAAGTCCCAAAACAGCCGGATACCCCTAACGCTACATTTCCAAATTGAACTAAGGCTGGAGTGATGCTGCAGCCCAGCATGGATGCATTCACTCTAAGTTGATTTTGAACAGACAGACAAGCCTTATTATGGTCATTAGGCCGTGTCCCGGGGCCGCGGATCTGTCTGGATAATTGGACCACCAGTCACGGATCTAGGCTGTTCTACAGCCGGTGCTCTTCCTCTTTCCAACATCATTCTCTGCTCTGAAAAATACACAGCCACCATTATTCAGTGAAAAGGAAATCTGTTGATTAGATTTTATAAATCATTTCTTAGTTTTCTGAATCCTGTTCCCTCCTAAATGTTTCTTCAGTTTTGTAGAGTTTTTGGATGAAGTGGATTAGATTAAAAAGCGCTTTAGAGCTATTTGCTCCTCCTGCTGTGCTTGAAACTAGAATTATATTGACTAAAAACTGTAGTTTTACTTGTACATATTTCTGTCAAAAGTCATATACTACACAGTATTTCAATTGTTTATGTTAATGTCAGTGTTTTAGTCCTCTAGTCCAGGATAAAGGCCTCGACTTTAACTCAGAGGATAATGGCTGGGGTGACTTGTCAGGACATGGACCCAGATTTGTCCACAATTTGGCCTAAATCTTTCTTCACTGACTTAGTTTTGTCTTTCAGTAACCTGACTCAGAATCTTCTGAAATCATGGACTCTGAACTATCAACCATGTAGTTGAATGTTAGCCCAGAAATATCTTAAAGGACGTTAAAATACATGTATAAAGTAAAGTTTGTGTTATGTGTATCGAAAACATATATATGGAACATATATAAATGAAATATAAATAAAATATCTGAGGCAGAGTGTGGTAAATGTTTTCAGCCTCCAGAAATCCATTTCTGAATGAAAGGAGCAGGCAGCATGAGCCACTGGTTTACAGTGGTTTCACACCTTTACACTGCAGCGCTTGCTGTGGACCTGAGAAAGGCGGAGACGACCTTAGGTTCCTATTACAGGGAGAAAAGTGAAAAAATAATATGTTCCTAATAGAATCCAGTTAAGAAAGGACCAACCACCTTCTGTGTTCTCACAGAGGAACAGCCTCAGTTCTTGGTTGCCAATTCAAAGCCAATACAGTGACCACCTCCGTCTGTGCACCTTCACTGGGACTCATAATTACGACAGCGTACGGTCACTAAGGTCCACCTCCTCATCATGAACTTGTGTAAACTAGCTGTAACAAAGCCTTTTGTCCCTGAAGAAATCAAAAGTGCTGCTAATAACCCCAGCCACTTGAAACTTGTCCACCCTGCTAAATGTGCTGCTGCTTCCATATGTGCCCGAAGCCTTTGGTGGAGGTGCGTTTCAGCTTCTGACAGTGACGAATGACAGTGTTACCTGGGCAGGCAACTACAGAGCCTGGGACAAATAGTTTGGTGAAGTAACATCCAGCCCAGGGGAGAATCTCTCCATGAGCATCTCCTCATAGAACAGAGCCAGCTCCTCTTCTCACCTGTGACAAATGGGCTTTTAGAGGAAGCAGTGAAAGAAGAGAAGAATGGAATAGTTAACCTGACTTTAGGCTCTTTTAGAAAATGGTTAACGGTGAAGAGATGAATGATCTGTACTCACACAGAGCCTCCCACTCTCCCATTATATCCACCTACTCCGACGTGGATGCAGTGCCTCAATTTGCCTAAATGTAATTATTATAAAGAAACCAACAGCACAACTGCACTGGAATCAGACGTTGGCGCTGTTGGCAGTGATGCAGCACTGGCAGATTTATCTGGGCCAGACTCACAGGATGTGAGTCCAGAGTGGCCCACATGAAAAGTGGCACATTCACCAAAGACCAGACTCAAAATGCTTCTTTTTTTTTCTTTTTTTTTTTGGATGATATTTTACACTCTTGCTGTATGAAACTTCTTCCTTTGTAGTTGGATCCAAAGTATTCACTGTTCACTTGAAAAAGTTGGAACCCAAAAACTTTTATCGTTGAAAAAGGTTATAGATAAAATTGATCAAATAAAAAAAAGAAATACAGTTGACACAGCTGACAACAACAAGGACAGCAAAGAAAGCGATAATCATTAGCAGAACAACGACTCACAGCTAGGTGAAAACAGACAACGGGAAAAGTGGGATCAAAAAAAGCTCTAAATTACCAACAGTAGCTCGAAACTTACAGCTAAATAAAATAATAAATAAATCCAAGATTTTCTCACTTGGTTTTGACTAGGTTATATTGAACTTTTACTTCACCCTTCGAGGAACATTTACCAATTAATTAGTGTTTGATATTCACTCAATGTTTCTTTGCCTCAGACGTGTTTTGTTGCTTTGTCAGTAGAACTGCACTTTTTTTTTTTTTTTTTTTTTTTGCTGCATCAGTCTTCAAATCACTCTCCACAGTCCTGCTGGCAGTGAGGAGACACTGGGAGGATATTTTTATTCATGCTCTAGCATGACATTTCAGATGTGTGGCTAATTCTCAGCATAAAATAATTACACAGTTGAACCAGGAATGGTTCCATCCACTTGGATTTATGGAGTTTAAAGAGTGTGAAAGAGCTCCAGTCCAGTTCACATGAACACATGTGTTGTTGTGTTTTCACTGATGGTAAGACAGCATTTTTATTGAGCAGTGCCCAGATGTTAGGAAAAGAGGTAAGGTGCCAGAGTGACAACATTTACCACGAGAACCTTTTTAACTCCTAATGTGATCTGTGTTGATCTCACTGGTTTTTCAAAGACTCAGACACAAACTCAGCCACAGTGTGGTGGAGATATTGCATCATAATCTTCACACCGATTGACTCACAGTTTAGTGAAAAATTAAAGTGTCACTGGGGGAGGGGTCACAGATTGGCTAAGAGCAGAGAGACAAATTGATTTGCAGATTAGATGTGGGAATGGAGATGCCAGAGAGTGATGGATTATTTAAAGAAAAGTCATCATCAATTCTGGTTTGCCAATGGAATCATCACCTCAGAGTCAAATGCATCACATGACTTCATTAAACGAGGACAACTTTGACTCATGGTGCCTTTCCTATGAGTAGACCCCCACCTCAAAACTGCCTAATGTGTAGACATCAATCCAAGTCCAGATATTGAGCAGTTTGTCACGACCAGGCGCCGATTTCTGACCTGACCAGTGTCAGATCCATCTGGTGGTCAGGTCAACACTCCTGTTGAAGTGCCAATAAATCCAAGTGAAGGAGAAGCTAACTGTAATTCATCATCTTTACTTGAGCCCACCTCTGAGTGTCCTGCATTACAGTGAGTCTCCCATCAACTCCCAGGGTGATGGACAGCTTCATCCATCAGTGACCACAAAGCCAAGTGCCATGATTTCGTTTTCAACACATAAAACTTCGACTAAAATCCCTGGTCTAATGCTGCTGCTAAAGAGTTGAGTAAAAAAACGGCTTTCAAACTGTAACAGGTCAGTAAAGGGTCAAAAGTAAAGTAAAGGGTGAAAGGGTAAAGGGGTTTAAAGTAAAGTAAAGTAAAAGTAAAGGGTAAAGGGCCAGGTCAATGTGAAGGAGAAAGGAGAAATGAAAAGGTCACATCCTGTTTTATCTCACTTTATCTCACGTTTTTGGCAAAGTTATAATCTTTTAGGGTGCCCTGGCACTTGTC